TATGTTTTCGTTCGGAAAACCTGAAGAAATGACACGAACGCCGTAGGTAATAGGAAAATAGGCTTTTTCCTAGGAAAAACTAAGGAAAACTTAGAGAAATACCACGGAATCCGTAGGAAAGTCGTGTTTTCCCTAGGAAAAACCAAGCAAATCCTTAGGACACGAAAGAAAATCCCTAGGAAAACAGTGTTTTCCCTTGGAAAAATTCAAGAATTGCTGTATCTAAAAAGCAAGAAAGAAAGACACAAAGAAAGAAAGAACGAGAACGAAAGAACGAAAGCAAAAACAAGAGGAAGAACGAAAGCAAGAACTAAGGAAAGAAACTTAAGGAAATACCACGGAATCCGTGGGAAAATCGTGTTTTCCCGAGCAAAAACCAAGCAAATCCTCAGGAAATGAAAACGAATCCGTATGAAAACAGTGTTTCCCCTGGGAAAAATGCAAAAATTGCTGTATCTAAAGAGGACGAAAGAAAGGAAAACAGAAAGAAAGAAAGATAGAACGAGAGAGAGAACGAAAGAACGAAAGCAAAAACGAAAGAAAGAACTAAAGAAAGAACGAACCAAAGAAAGAACGAAATAAATCAAACCAGAAAGAAAGCAAGAAAGAAAGGAAGGGAGTATGAGATGAACAAAGAAAGAACAACAGAAAGAAAGAAAAGAAATGAACGAGCGAAAGAAAGAAAGAAGTCCAGAATAAAAAAGCAAAGTTGGAAAAGACGAAAGAGGAAGAATATGAAAGAATCACAGAAACAAAGATACACGCAACAGGATACTACATAGTCCAATCGAATTTACCATAATATCGTAATATACCGTAACATAATATAACATAATGTAACCTAATGTTGTAAAATATACTACAGATTATGTTGTAAATATACACACTGTATTGTACTATGTTACAACGTACTACGCTATGAACTAAGATGTTGTTTTGTTCTATGTCATCTTCTGTTATATTGTATTGTTGTATTTTTAGTATGCTATTATATGCTATAAGAAGCAAGGTTCTGTTATGTCAGAAAATGTCACACCATTTTTGTGTTGTCGAACCATCTTATGTCGTTCTTCTGGTTTACTATGTTATATATATATTAGGTTAGAATGCTAACGGAAGAAGAGACACGAACAGGCACGGAAGAACAAAACACCCGCCGCCGCGCTTTTCGAGACGTGCAAGCTTGATTCAAAGAGTGTTCTCGAAGCCCATCATGTGAACGTTGTCTCTGCAAATGGGGGGGGCTTGCGCCCCCCCCCCAACCCCGCCGCTGTTTTAAGCCGTGCAGGGTTGCTTTGAAGCATATGCCTTTTTTTGAAACCCAGCAAATGAGGGCGTCTCCGCCCTTGTAGATACATGCTGAACCAGAATCGCCAAATGAGGGGCGTGTTTAAGATAGATGATGAAGCGGAATACCAGAAACAGCTACAACAGGAAATCCGTCCTAAATGTGAAATTGTAAGGAAAATTTGATTTTCCCGCGGAACAACCATATGTTGTCCTTCTGAAAACCTCAAGAAATGACACGAACGCCATAGGTAATAGGAAACAAGTTTTTTCCTACGAAAATCAAGGAAAACTTAGGGAAATACCACAGAATCCGCAGGAATATCGTGTTTTCCAGGGGAAAAACCAAACAGATCCTAGGGAAACAGAAGAAAATCCCTAGGAAAACAGTGTTTTCCCTTGGAAAAATTTAGGAATTGCTGTATTTTAAGTGATTTAATTTTTTTTGATCCTTATTTAATTTTTTTTTGATGCCTCTGCCCCAGGAATTGCTGTATTTTGATTGATTTATTTTTTTTTGATCCTTATTTTAGTTTTTTTTGATCTTTCCATTTAATTTTTTCTTGATCCTTATTTAATTTTTTTTTGATCCCTCACCCCCCTAAAGCCCTAAAACCCTAAACGATGCCCTGACGACCATATTTACCAGGATGCCCAGTAGTACCCTTATTCCCTCTTTGTAGTCCTAGGTTCCTTTTAAAGTTACCCAATACCAAAAAGAGAGGCCTTTTTATTCCTAGGTTACTGGGCATCCTAGTACCATATTGAGGTCCCTGCGGTACTTCGGTTTGGGAGCCCAAAGGCCTTGCATGCTGACAGTACTCTGCTGAAGCCTTTAAGACCTTCGTAATCATGTACCCAGACCTTCCAAAATCCCTTAATAGAATTAAGGGATAGACCTTAAATCATATTAGGGATCCTATTATAATTTAGGGTATATTCCTTAATTAAGGGATTTTGGAAGGTCTGGGTAAGGCCCCAGAAGCCTGGGCAAACAGAAGCAAACAAGCAAAGGTCTCGCAGATCCTCCGCGCCAACGAGCGGCGGAGGTTAAGCATCGACACGGAGGTCGGCTATGACTTGGGAATCCCTCGGACTTTTCACAGTTTTTTAGTGATTCTTTGGAGCATCGGGTGTCTTCAGAGTTTACGTCTTCGGTGTTGTTGTTGGGGTCTTGGGGTTCAAGATCGTCTGATTTCCAGGAGACTTGGAAGTTGGGAGTCTTGCTTGTAGTCTTGATCTTAGACCCTATAGCCCATAAGCCCTAGCCCCTGAACGGCCTGAACGTTCAACTCCTGAAACCTCAACCGCCGAACCCCTATACCCACAACTCTTCGGGGCTTCAGGATCTGAGGGTTCTGGCTTCGGGATGTAGAGTTGCAGGTCTCTGGGATCATGGGGTTCAGGGCATAAGGTTTCAGGATTAGGGTGTAGGGTATATTTTTACTTAATACCTATAATATATATATATATATATATATACACACACGCATTGTGGTTTTCAGGGATTCAGGTACTAACTAGGGTGGAGAAGTTATGCAGACATGGGCTTTGGGCGCAGTCCTTCAGCCTACGACTGTCTACGGGCTAAACTCTGTTTTGGACTTGGCTATGCGACTCTCAGACGTTCAGTTCTCTAGGTCCATATGACAGGGTGGCTTCGGGGGCTTGAATCTGAAAGCCTACCATGTGGGTACTTGGACAGTATAGGGACGGGAGAACTAGTATAGTGGTATCCCGGTACTGTCCCTGTATTATCTATGATGATATGCCGGGCAAGCCCTATTCTGCATTCTGCAGATTGTGGTCCCTACAGCAGGCTGTATGTAGGGTTGGGGTTTTAGCTTTGGGGTTAAAGGGGTGAGTACGACACCCGAAGCTCCGAACAATAGTTGCTGTCCTCGGGTTTACAGATCTGAACTCTCGGATTTAGGCTTGGGGTTTCGGGTAGGGGCCTTCATACGAGATGCAGAGGTGGTCTACGGACTAGCCAGAAAATCTTATGAAGCAGCAAGGAGGCACGCCGTTAATGGATGATGTGAAGTTTGGCCAAAGCCCGACTGAATCCGCAAAAATCCTTCTGCCCACAAGGACTTCCACCCTAGACCCGATAAGATCCCAGCTTTTAAGACCCCCGTAGCACCTCCGTTCGCACTTTGTAGCATACAAAGCCCTACAGCATCCTATAGCCCTAAACCCTGAACCCTAAACCCTAAACCCTAAACCCTTAAAAAAAAAAAAAACCCTAAACCATGACCCTTAAGCCTTGAACCCTAAACCCGAAGCCCTATAGACACCCTGAACCCTAAGCCCTAAACCCCTATAAACCCTAACCTTCAAAGGAACTCCTAAGGAACCCCAAACCCGAGACCCCCCTGTACTTGGAGGGTCGCGGGACTTAGTAACCGGTTAATTAGGGACTTAAAAGTACCATAACCCCAATTAGGGTCCCCTTTAGGGTACTTATAAGTCTACTTACTGCCTACTTACTAAGTCCCCCGACCCTCCAAGTACTAACCCAGGGCTGAAGATCTATACCTTTGCTTATAACCCTAGTTACTAAGTCCCCCGACTCTCCCTGTCGTCTCCGCACGTCGCAATGAAGCGGCCCGCCGCGCGCATCCCTGCGGCCGACACGAAGCGCCCGAAGGCCAAGGCCAAGGCCATCGAAGGGAGTGGAGCGTTGCCCAAAGGGTCCTAGGTACTGTTATGGGGAATACTTCCCCAAATCATAATAGTAATTCCTAATATAGAAACCCTACATTCTACTATATCGTTAGTGTCATAGGAGGCCAAAAGGGGTTTTAGCCTATGGGGGTTTAGTAGGGATGAGGGTTCCCATAATAGGGTTCATATGAAGGAATCCCTAGCCCAAGAATCTTAAACCCCCCTTTTGGCCTCCCATCATAGTGCTTAAGTATATGGGTTGTTGTCAAAATAAGGGCCCCTTTTTGGGTACCCTAAATAATAGGTGCCGTATTATAATGGGGACCCAAAAAGGGATCATAATGTTGACAGACACCCATATATATATATATATATATATACATATATATATATATAGACACCTTTAGATAGATATAATACAATACAACCCAATATAATTTAGCATAGGATAGTCTGATGTGGTTTAATATGATATAGTATTTTATATTTTCTTGTAGTATAGTGTGGTATAGCTAATACAATATAACACAATATGAATATACTGCTACATTATTTTATAGCCAAAAATGTCGTGCGTATTTGTATAAATATGTAACATTATATCTGTATATATATATATATATATATATACAGCTCCGAATAATTACCGTTTAGTCACTACTTGTGTCTCTGCATAGTCCCCGTATAAGCATGTTGCATGAGCCTTAAAATTAGAAACCCTGAACCCTGTAAGCCCTAAACCCTGTAATTCACGCCCTAAGCCCTGAACCCTATAAACCCTGAGCCTTACCAACCCAAGTCTTTAAGCTCTAAGCCTTATACAGCATAAGCGCTGAACCCCGAACCCTAAAAGCCCTACACCCTATTATCTCCTAACACCGAAGCCCAAAAAGCCGTAAACACTAAACCCGAACTCTGAAGCCCTACCTGTGACCCCAAACCCTACAAAATGGTAGGTTGTGACCCCGTGACTATAAGGTCTTTATAACCCCTAAAACAGTTGGGTTTCGGATCCCCAGGTACACCCTCAGACTCGTAAAGCCCAGGCGCAGAGAGGCCGGGAGCAGAACCAGGAGCCTCAGCGCGAGGGTCCCCTGCCAGTCTCCACGCTTTGCGGCTTTTTGGGCGCTGGCCACTCGGCTAAACTCCAAACCCTGATGCCTGAGACGTAGGGCCTTAGGGTTTAGGGTGCTTTGCGGCTCTTCTCTAGTCTCGCGATTTTCATGTATTCCCTCCGCCCAAAGAAATCTGAAATACCCGTCAATAAACTAAGGAGTCTTAGGAAATGCGCACACTAAATCACAGAGTCTTTGGATTTAGTTGGGTTATATTCTTCTCCGGAGGGACATAAAACATTAAACCAGCTTAAACCTACACCCTAATCCTGGTCTCTCTGGGTCCTCTTCGCCCGAGGCAAAACGACCCTGCTGAAGCACATCCTGGAGAAGAAGCACCAGAATGGTGACTTCAAGTGTGCGGTGATTGTCAACGACACTCTCAGCTAAGATTCGGCTTAGGTGTAGGGTTTTGACCAACCTCAGGGTTTACTTCTGAAAAGTTTTCCGAACCGCCGAACCGCAACTGAGCCTCACACTCATAGATCCGAGTCCTGGTACTCACGCTCAGCAGAAAGATGGAAGCCCCCAAATAACAGCGGGGTTCTTAAGTTCAAGGGTCTTGTTTTTAGACTCGCCACGCCAGGATCACATTTTTATCAGTCGTTGGCCTGAAGCCCCAAAACCCTAAACCCTGAACCGGTGGTCCGCGGAATTAATGGGGCCACTCGCTTCGTAGCAGCGGCTGAAGTCCCAAGCTGCAAAACGAAGGACATGGCAAGCCCAAGCCTCACCTGTAATCCAAAAAGCAATTTTTCGGGCTTGGTGATTATGGGTGAAAACAAATCGGAATGATTGCGATTATGGGTGAATACATATTGGGAGTACTGGGATTATGGCTGAATACAGAATGTTGATCATTGGGATGACTGGGATTATAGGTGAATACAAATGGGGCTTACTATTATTAATATTATTACTACTATTATTGTTATTATTAGTATTATTATTATTGTTATTATTATAGGAGCTCAGAATAAGTAGGCTTTCTGAGCAGGTAAGCCTAAAACCAAGGACATGGCCGAGGTGAACATCGACAAGGCACTGATTGACCAGACGGCTCTGCTTCAAAGCGACGAGGTCGTCGCCATGCAGAACGGCTGCGTATGCTGCACCCTAAAGTGCCCCGGCCGGACCAGCATACTGTAGGAGCCGTAATACCCAGACCTTCGGATATCCCCTAACTAACGAAGATATCTTAGATACGATTCAAGGTCTAATTCGTTAATACGTGGATTTTGGAAGGTTTGGGTAGTTGCAATCGGGGTTTGTGGTGTAGTACCAGAATACATATCGCAAGGAACCCTATCGAATAATAGTGGTAGACATTCGAGAACCCTATGCTTAGTGACCCGAAGCCCACATCTACAGAAACATACACTGCAAACGCAACCGAGTTTACGATTTGTAAGCTATAAGCCAAAAAGGACCCACAACGCACACGGCGCCAAATCCCAGAAACCTGCTAAGCCTCCCCAGAGCTAAAAACCTTCTAAAACCCCCAAACATACACCCTGAATCCCAAAGACTAGGACCCAGAGTAGGCCCTTATTCCCTTTTTTAGGGTTCAGGTTCCCTTATAAGCCTCTTTAAACCAAAAAGGGCATCCTTTTTATGCCTGGGTTACTCTTGGGTCTAGAAGACCACCCGGAAACCGAAGCAAGATACCTTTAACGATGACCCGACCATGGCCCTTTAATAGAGCCCTCACGGCCCTCGTATTCGAGGGCAGTTGGGGTCTAGGAATCTAGGCTTCCTTACCAATTTCCTTACAGAAGTCCTGCAGGCGCCAGGTTTTTTCGGGTCTGGGTTAGGGTTTAGGGCTTAGGGTTTAAGGTTTAGGGTTCAGGGGTTGGGGTTTAGGGGTTAGGGTTTAGGGACCTAGAATGCCAGTAGCCCAGAATACGAAGAGGGTCCATATACACTACCAATATGCAATTAGGCCCCAAAAGACCATCCCAATAATGGATTTGGGAGACCTAATTCCATAATCGTAGAAGATATGGACCCTCCGGGATGATAGTCTACTTTCCCCTAGGTTCCTACGACTTTGGTTAAAATAGCCCACTAGTTCGTGCAACTCAGCTTTCTAGACAGGTATAATAGAGTCTCCAAGCCCTAAACCTAAACCACCCTAAGCTTTAAAACCCTAAACACTACAGATCCCTTATTACTTCGAGGTCTAAGTACATACTCTATGGGCCCATGGAGCCTTACCCAGAGGCCCCAAAGGAGTTCCTTTTTGGGATTACCTTATAGGATTCTATATATGAACCCCAAAAAGGAACTACTTTGGGGCCGAAGGGTATGGCCTAGCTACCCAGACCCCCGGGAGGATCTAGAAAGTAGATCCTCTAATTTGGGGCCCTATACTACTACTAGGACCCAGAGTAGGCCCTTATTCCCTTTTTTAGGGTTCAGGTTCCCTTATAAGCCTCTTTAAACCAAAAAGGGCATCCTTTTTATGCCTGGGTTACTCTTGGGTCTAGACTAAGGGTACTTTATAGGAACCCCCATGAAGGGATCTACTTTTTGGATCCTCCCGGGGGTTTGGGTAAGCCCGAGAGTGTGCGCCCAGGGATGACCTGGCACATCAGATCCTTGGGCTCGCCAGGGGAGGATCCTTCGACCCTCGGAGTTTTTTCGTTTAGTCAGATAGCCAATGGGGGAACTTTAAACTTTTTAGCCTTATGCATTTGGTCTATCTCAGAAAGTTCAAACTTTTTTGGGCCCGGTTATTGAAGGAGAGAGTCTGTCTGCTTTAGGGTTTAGGCTTTAGGGTTGCTTTCTGTGGGTTCTTTGGTTTCGGGTTTAGGCTTTGGGGTTGAGGTTTGAGGGTCAAGGGGTCGGGTAAGAGCACAGTTTAGGATCTTTACTGCTGTTTGGCGTGTTCCTGCAGGGTCTTCTTACCGCGTGTTCTATTTTTTTGAGCGAGAATTGTTTATCGGTTCGTCTTGCGGCCAGCGCTTTTATCAATGGGTTCCATAAGGAGCTAGATTGAAAACTTGCTAATCTCAAATTCAACGATTTAAGAGGTTTCATGGGTTCTTTTAAAACTTTAGCGGAGTTTTCTAATCACAGTTCTGCGACACCTCTACAGAGTATATAGGGTCGAGAGATGCAGGGTTTGGGGCCGAGCGTTTTGCCGACTTCTAAGCTCAGGATTCCGAACTAGGGTTTGGGGCTTTTCCTTTTTGGGATTACCTTATAGGATTCTATATATGAACCCCCAAAAAGGAACTACTTTGGGGCCTTTGGGTAGGTAGGGCTTTGGGACACTTTATATTTTCTCTTATTGGGCTTAAGAGGATCTTACCTACTATAATACTTTTCAAAGGCTTTAAAAGCCCCTCCTAGCGAACCGCAAGACTCTTAACACAAACCTTACCCAAAGGCCCCAAAGTAGTTCCTTTTTATTGGTTCATATATAGAATCCTATAAGGTAATCCCAAAAAGGAACTACTTTGGGGTCTATGGGTAGGGCCTGCATCACTTTTTGGTCTCAGGGTTTAGAGGTTTAGGGTTTAGGGGTGGCCATCGCAGCACTTTCGGTTTCAGGGTTTAGAGGCTTAGGGTTTAGGGTTAATTAGCCCTCAACAAACTTTAGCCCGAAGCTCTCGAAACCCCACTGCAGGACTACATGATTATCGAGGCATCGGGAGTGTCGGAGCCTTCGCAGATCGCGCGGATCTTCGCCGACGACCCCGAAGGCCACATCCCCGAAGGTCTGAACGAGGTCGGGTCGGCTCCGATTTCGGGATGGCCAGTGCAACATAAAACAAGGGGCTTTACGGTTTGGGACTAGGAAGTATGCTTTCAGGAGTTCCCTTTATCTGCTTGGTTGGGTGCTCGTGTCCGTTGTTTGGATGTTCTCCCGTGTGAGATTGACTACGAGGACAAAGTATGTGGTTGCTTGCTATCTTGTCGCCTGGAGTCTCACTACCAGGTGCTTCGGGGTCAGCATCGTAACTCTCTGGGTCAAGCTTCCAGCCAAGTAGGCAGTTTTTGCGTATATTTCGAAACCCCCAAACCTGAATCTGAACACTAAGAGCCCTAAACCGTAAATCCTCTTTCGATAGCAATACCCTACACCCTCAGCCTCTAGGCCATATGAATCCCCGTTATGCGCCAGGTAGCACGACTGGATACATGCGTGACCGTCGTCGACTGTGGGGACTTCTTCGCCAACCTGGAAGGGGTCAAAAAGGCGCCGGTCCTGGGTTTAGGGTTTAGGGGCTTCGGGTTTCGGGGTTTAGGGTTTAGGGGGGTTGTACAACTAGTCCACCCTAAGCCGCCTTAACCCTTACTCGACGAACCTAAATTCCCAAGCGCTTAGATTAAAACAAAAAGCCCTCAACTCCTACTACCTAGAACATCCCAGTCCCAGTAATTAGAACTTTGACGATTCAGGAAACCCCTCCGTTTCCACGGGTCGAGAAGATCGCGATATGTTTCCACCAAGTCTTGTAGGGCTCCTCGCATGACTGTACCAGAGTATACCCACAAACCCTAAGGGAAAAGCCAGAAAGTTGGAATATGATTATCCTAAACCCTTTTATGGTAAATTATGGGGTATCCTACCCTGAAACCATATTCCAACTTTCTGGAGTTCCCTTTACCCTACATGGGAGTTTCCGAAAATAGGGGACCCTAATATGGCACCCCAAATAGTAGGATCGTTATTATAAGGAACCAAAATAAGGTACCCCTTCGGAAACTCCCACATGGAATTCTTGAGGCCCTTGTTGTAGTGTTCCAGGTCGGTGACTGAGAGGAGATGGGTCCTGGTAGGCTCGGAGGCTTCTACTTAAAGGATCATGGGACTTAGTAGCTAGGGCTCCTTAAAGGGCTCCTTTAAAGGGATCTATAGGGGTTGTAGTATAAGAGGGGATTTAGGGTCTACTTAGAGGATCATGGGACTTAGTAGCTAGGGTTATAAGTAAGGTAACTCTACTTAGAACTACTTATAGCCCCAATTAAGGTACTTAGGACCTTACGTACTAAGTCCCATGATCCTCCAAGAAAGGGTCATCCGTGAGTTTGTGTGGTTTTGTTCTGTGTATTTAGATTAGGGCTCTGGGTTTAGAGTTCAGCTCCGGGCTTGGAACTGATTTACAACCTGTCGAATTTGCGGGATAAGGTATGCCCCCAAACTTCAGAGTCTTCGGATTCCAAACCCCAGACCCTAAGCCTCAGAAGCCATGGCACCAAGACCCAAACATGAGACTCCTAAACCCTAAGTCCCGATATATACCATCGGCCCGAGACCTGACAACCCCCCTGGGCCCCGATGTGTGTTTATAATGAGCCTGGGACCCAGAGTAGGCCCTTATTCCCTTTTTTAGGGTTTAGGTTCCCCTATAACACCCTTTAAACCAAAAAGGGCACCCTTTTTATTCCTAGGCTACTCTTAGGTCTAGGAGCCGTATAGGACCCAGGTTCCTGAGTACTAGCCTTTTGTCCTTTTCATTTTGGGGCCTCCTCGTTGAAACCATCTCGTAGCAGAACGGGTACCCTTATCATTAAGGGCCCGCAGGAACCCTGTTTATGTAAAGGGAGCCCTCATAGGCATGTATCTTGAATCAAACTGCAATTCTATAGACTCTGTATGGAAGGAACCTTTATTACTTACAGAAACATGATTGAGCCCCCTAAACCCTAAACTATCTTTTCACAGGGTTCCAAAGGTAGGATGAAGATAGGTGCGATATTCCCAATTACGAGTCCTTGTATAAGGGATCCTTCATCCTAATTACTTAGCTTCATCCCACCTTTTGAGGCCTCCGATCTTTAAGCCGAAAGTATCATGCTCGACAGGGTCCCAAGAACGAAAGCTTCCCGCAGCTCCTTGCGGAACAGATCGAGGCAGATTCTGTTTTTGGGTATAGGGTTTAGGTCTGAGCTTTCTGTATGGTACGTAGACAGACACTGACCCAAGGATTTAGGGTTTAGTATTTAGGGATACTTAAGCATCTCGCAATCAGGAAGACAAGGGTTTCAGGCATCTCGCCCCATTAACGACGTCCCAAACATATTGTTTCAATATGCCGTCAGTGTTAAAGACATGCCTATCCGGACATGCCTACATATTCCCCCAAACCGTATAGATCCCGGGAAAATGCAATGCTGACTAAGGGGCCTGCGTCAAGGGTCGGCTCAACCTAGCCCATAAGCCCAGGTCCGCGCAGTTCACCCTCGCCCAAAGCCTTCACATACATAGGTGGTTGTCAATATTAGGGTTCCTTCTTGGGTCCTTATTTTAATACGGCACCTAATATTTGGGGTACCCAAAACACAACCATAATTTTGACAACCACCCACATGTAAAGTTAAGGGCCCGTTCGGGGTTCGCGCTTCCAGCGGGTATAGGATTGAGGATTATAGGCAGTTTGAGTAAGTAGTGCGGGTTTAGGGTAGAGCCCAGACCTTCCAAAATCCCTTAATTAAGGAATATACCTTCAATTATAATAGGATCCCTAGTATGATTTAAGGTATATTCCTTAATTAAGGGATTTTGGAAGCTCTGGGAGTAGCGGACTGAAGCGTTACTAGGATGCCCAGTAGTACCCTTATTCCCTTTTTGTAGTCCTAGGTTCCTTATAAAGTTACCCAATACCAAAAAAGAGAGGCCTTTTTATTCTTAGGTTACTGGGTATCCTAGCGTAAAGGGTGTAGGAAGGCTGCGAGTGTGGCTGCCCTGCTGGGCGAGCATCAGATTGGGCTTCCGTTTTCATTCGCGACCATACCTGGGCCCCAGAAGGATGTACCCAGACCTTCCAAAATCCTTTAATTAAGGAATATACCTTAAATCATATTAGGGATCCTATTATAGTCTGGGTAGAATAATAACCTTTGTAGGTTTTGAGCCATTATTCAACGTATTTACTTTTGGGGGGTTTAGGTAATGCCCATCCTAAACCCTAAACCCTAAACCGAGCCTCCGCTTTTGCTCCCTGCAAGTGGAGTTGTGAAAGGGGGCTGAATTGGCTCGCCTTAAATAGGCTTGCGTAGGCCGAACCTTCGTGCAGGCGCACAAGAGCTCTCAAAAAAAAACAAAACCGAGCCTCCACCTTCATTCCCAACATGTTTAAACCCGGAGCCCGGAAAGCGCGAGTCCCAGAATCCCCAACTTCGTGAGTAGCAAGCCATGGAACATATAGGGGACCCTAACATAGTACCCTAAATAGTAGGATCCTTAGTCTAACGGTGGATGATATATATCCTGCATTACCTTAAGGACCCTAAACTATGGGAATTATGGTATATTCCTTATTATTATGGGTCATGCAGGATTTATATCATCAACCAAAGGACCCCATAATAGGTACCCCTAATTTTCAGAAACTCCCAGTACATTAGGGGACTTGTGGAACCCAGGGCACCACAACCTCTTGTTGTTTCCCTTAGGGTCCATGTACCCAAATAGTATATACTTTGGCCCCAAAGTAGTCCCTATATAGGTACTTTGGGCCGAAAGTATATATTATTTGGGTAGATGGACCCTTGTTGTTTGGGTCTGTTGAATCATCCGGCACGTATTTTTTGGGTCGTCTACAAGACTCGTAAAGTAGAAGCCAGAAAGTTGGAATATCATTATCGTAACCCCTTTAAGGTAAATTATAGGGGATCCTACCATTAATTCATATTCCAACTTTCTGGAGTTCCCTTTATTAATTTGAACGGAATTCTACACATCCTGAGACCTCAGTCGCGCACAACACCGACCTCTTGAGCATCAAACGGTTTTGGGTTGAGGAATATCTGGGAGTTTCCGAAAAAAGGCGGCCCTAATATAGTACCCTAAATAGTAGGATCCTTATTACAAGGACCCCAAAATAAGGTACCCAAATTTCGGAAACTCCCATATCTAGTTGTAGGATACTTTATCAGGCATTCTCACATTTCTGATCTTTGTTTGGGGCCTCTGGTGTTGTTGTCTTTTTCACCGGATTTCTTGCAATATGTGCTAGACATAAACCCACTCGCCGTAGTACGCGAACGTCGTCGTCCTGAACAAGACGGACCTTGTTAGCAAATCGCAGTTGCAGGACTGCCCGGAGTCGGAATAATTCATAGGGGGCCTGTTAGAGGGTTTAACGGCTTCGGAATATATGGCGCCTTACCTGTAGCGCGTATAACAAACCCTATAGCCTTTTGCTGGGTTAATCAATAAGAGACCACACGAGGTCATAACCATCACAGTTCTCCGTTCCTGTGATGTGTGATGTTTGTTTTAAGTAATTATGGTTTCTCCCAGAGGGTCCAAGTACTCGCTATTATAGGACTTCAGGGCCTTTTTAGGTACCAAAAACCATGAATAAGAACTACTTGGACCCTCGGGGTCTTTGATAGGGATGTCATAGGACCTTCAAAACAATTTTGGCTTGCCTGGAGTAACCCAAGGGAATGGAATAACCTGCCATGTTGCAGAGCTTGGACTTACTAGTGCGGCGTTGCAGTGGTTGAGACTGAGGGTGTGGGGTAGCAGGGTTGAGGGGAGTGTATGATTTAGGAGGTTTAGGATGCAGGCGTTTACGCTTGCTATTCAGATGTAGGGCTTCAGGATTTGTGTGTTTTTTGCAGTCCGGGCCTTGAGTTTCAGACTCCGGGTTGGGGGTTGTAAGCAACTAAGATCATGATGTTCTTGCTTTCGCTGAAGCGCTTAGACCTTTGTTGTTACAAGGTTCGTCAGACGGGCTTAGTGGAGGGTTGGGGCGATCATCCGTAAAGCATACGCCAGGAAAGCTCTGCCCAGAGGCAGCCGACTACTGCTCTCTCCTTCCCCGCACTTTGAGAAGATCTTGCTTTGCAAATCTTAGACGACCGGCTGCTAATTCACCATCGAATTGAAGTCCCCCCCGCCCTAGAGCCTCAAGCCTGAACCCCGACACCATACATGGGTAGCGCACCCTGCAAGCGCGACATTCAGAGCCGGTCCCTTGCCTCACTGCTGCAGAAATGTCAACCCTCATCTCCCCCAGGCCTTCCCCAAAATCCCTTAATTAAGGAATCTCCCCCAGACCTTCCCCAAAATCCCTTAATTATAGGGAATATACCTTAAATTAATTTAAGGATCCTATTATAATTATAATAGGATCCCTAATATGATTTAAGGTATATTCCTTAATTAAGGGATTTTGGGGAAGGCCTGGGTCCCAGAGCTTGATGAAAAAGGAGCTACAAGTAGAAGCCCAAAAGTTGGAAACCCCATAGCCTCAGTCCTTAAGAGTAATGTATAGGGAGTTTCAGCACTATTTGGCCTAAATCCGGTTTCCAACTTTATGGGGTTTACTGTACAAGTAGCAGCAACCCACCATCTTTAACCCAAGAAAGCGCGAACACGCCACCCCTGAGGGTGTTTTGGCTTGTTTAAGGTGTCGGGCTGGTGTTTGGGAGGGATTTAATTGCTTAAAACTTAAACCAAACACCGCATGACAAACTAGTTCAGTTTACGGCCATTACTTGATTCCAACACCTGGATACCCACGACCCCAGCCGTGTCCTTCCAGGACATCAGCGACCAGGTAACTGGGCTTAGGAGTTGGGTTACACTTTTAAACACATATGGGGGTTTCCCCGAAAATAGGGGACCTAATATTAGTACCCTAAACCCTAAACCCTAAATAGGATCCGTATTATAAGGACCTTAAAACAAGGTACCCCAATTTTCAGAAACTCCCATATCGGCGAGTCGGTCTTTAGAGCTGGCACGAGGCATTTAGTGCTTAGGGTTTAGGGTTTAGGGTTTGTTTAGGGGTTCAGGACTTTTGTGCAGGGTTTAGGGTTTAGGGTGCAGTGGCTTCCGAGTAGAGACTAGAAAGAAAGGTATGTTGTCTGGAGGTTTGCTTTGGTCTCCTCCTGCCGTTGTGCAATGACGTTTAGCTTTGTTTTTTTCCACGGCTAGTTGAGAACACAGGTAAATTCACAAGCGTTAGACCAAAACGTCAAGAGCCGACATGTGCAACAACATAAACTACCCAACTCTTCAAACCACTTAATCCCGAAATTCGCAGATTGTCCGTAAACCCCAAATTGAAAATCCGTTAATCGCCGAAATCCTGAGAATGAAAGCCTTTAGGCCCGAACCTGTCCATCTTAAATGACCCACTCCCTCTAACTCGCGGCACTCACAACCCTCCACCAGCTAAACCCTCCAAACCTTAACTAGGATGCCCAGTAGTACCCTTATTCCCTTTTTGTAGTCCTAGGTTCCTTATAAAGTTACCCAATACCAAAAAGAGAGGCCTTTTTATTCTTAGGTTACTGGGTATCCTAGTTAAGGTCTCAAGTCGAAATCCCCCAGCCCCTAAACCCTATGCAAAACCCTCTCAGACTACTCCTTTACACAACCATGCTAGGTAGGGCTTTGGGACATTCTATATTTTCCCTTATTGGGCTTAAGAGGATCTTATTTACTAACATTTTTCAAAGGCTTCAAAAGCCCCACCTAGCATATCATTCCAGCCAAGTCGCTGAAGCCCCTAGATTCCAGAAAATCCTGACCCCGAAACCCTTAATTTGAGAAAACACAGGTGGGTGGTTGTCAAAATTATGGTCCCCTTTTTGGGTCCTTCAAAAAAATACAGCACCTTATATTTAGGGTACCCGAAAGGGGCCCTAACTTCTAGGACCCAGAGTAGGCCCTTATTCCCTTTTTTGGGGGTTCAGGTTCCCTTATAAGCTCCTTTAAAGCAAAAAGGGCACCCTTTTTATTCCTGGGTTACTCTTGGGTCTAGATTTTGACAACCACCCAGGTGAAGATCCTGAATCCGAAAGCACGGGTACTCCAAGCTCGGCAGAGCCGGATCGATGTGATGCAGGCTACAGTGGGCATCTGGTGTACTTTCACTAGGTAGGCTTTTGGGATATTTTATATCTTCCCTTATTGGGCTTAATCGCACCCTATTTACGAATATTTTCAGAAGCTTTAAAGGGCCAACCTAGTTCAAGCTTCAAACTTTAGAGCGTTTAGCGGACTCTTGAAGGATTCTCTCTCTCTATATATATATATATATATATGCTGAGCTGTCCATATGCAGGAGCCCCACAAAGTCGCCATGCTCCCCCTCCCCCCCGCCCCCCCCCACACACACACACACACACACACACGATTCCTCGTATTAGCTGGGTTCTTCCAACATAGTTCAGTGTTCATCGCAACCGTCTGCTGTCCTTTCTTTTTCTGGGTGTACAGTTAAAGGCTCTACGATTGAACCTCAAGAAGAAACTTCCCGAGCACTCTGAGCTGTCTGTCCTGGGAGTCGGAAGCCCCTTAACCCTGCAAGAAAGCATCCCATGCCGTCAGAGCTTAATTGCACCATGACCCCAAATTCACCCAAACCCTAAACCCTACTAAACACCAACCAAACCCTAAGTCCTAAACCCTGAAACCCCGAAACCCTTAACATCCCTAAACCGTGAGCCCAAAACCCCAAAGCACTGCATCCCGTGTCAAAAGCCCGGACTGCGAAGCCCTCCTCAGGTGGTCGACACCAAGCTCTACAAGCCGGAGGATGCTAGACGGTATGGTGTTTAGGGTTATGCTAGTTGTAATCCCCTTAGGACTGGTTTTCGTTCAGTTTACTTGTGGTTCATATAAGACAAAGAAGAAAAAGCATATTATGTTCTGTATGGTTCTAAAAGGTGCTATAGCTAGTACATGAAGTCGGGTAAAGGTTGCACTGCGCGCACCCTGTGGCCGGTCCGGGGGTTCATACGCGTCGTAAGCAGGGAGCAGCCAAGTTCTGACTTTTTGGCTTGCATACTCAGTTGGGAGTTTCCGAAAGTTAGGGGTATATGGTCGGAAATAAGGGGCATTGAGGGTCTAATAGAGGGTAGATGGAGGGCCTAGGTACTCAGTTGGGAGTTTCCGAAAATTAGGGGTACCTATTTTGGGGTCCATATAATAAGGATCCTACTATTTAGGGTATTATGGTAGGGTCCCCTATTTTTGGAAACTCCCAGTTATCGCAAAGCCCTCTGGCCCGAGAGTCGTCAAGCCCTAGGCCCTGAGACCTGAAACCACGAACCACAGCCCTAAAGTTTAAGCCTTATAAATCTTATAAACCCTCAAACCCCCTAAAGCCTAAACACTAATCACTATAGCCTGAGAGCCCTTCAGAGGCCAAACACGCAGCCGTACGTGAACTTTTGGGTGGGGTATCGCTACCTTATTGGCTTGTTTAAAGGAAATTCGGGGATATTCCAACCTTGTGATTCTGTTCACGTGCTTTTTGAGTCGCTGCTAAGGATTTCCAGGGCTGGAAGACACATGGACTGGCGGAAGCTGAGAATGACAAGGGTGACGCTGGCGAAACCTGGATGGCCTCTTGCTGCCTTCAGAAGGCCTGAACCCTTTCAGAGGTTCTTGTCGGATTCTAATTTTATTTACTTGCTGCTGATGATGTCAGAAGATTATTCTTCGACGCTTCAGCCTAAACCTTAATCCCCTAAACTCGAAGCCTGAACCCCGAAAGTCCTTGAGTAACCTGAACCCCCAAAAACCCGCTATTATCCCCCAACTACCGACTGATAAGGGCCAGAAGTTAAAGGAACCCTTAAAGGGAGCACCTAGAGACCCTCGTATGGACATCAAAGGAGCCCTTAGGGGGTCCTCCAAAGGTGGTCTAGGGTTTAAGGGTTTAAGGGTTTGGGGTTTAGGGGCCCTTTAAGACCCCTTTGAAGCCCCCTTGAAGCCCCATAATATAGCCATTATATACCCATTATATAGCCCATTGTAGGGTAGGGGTCCCCACAAAGGGCCTTAGGGGGTCCCCCAAAGGTGGGTTTCGTGACGGACCAGGGTTTCGTTAGGCGGGGCCCCCGAGCCGAAGCTTGCTTTGCCCTTTCTCTCCTTTTTAGGGTTTACTGTAGGGTTTAGAGGTTTAGGGTTTAGGGGTTTAGGGTTTTGGGGTTTAGGGTTTAGAGGTTTAGGGGTTTATAGGGGTTTAGGAAGTTTAGGGTTTTGTGGCCTTGATTTTGGGCTCCGTATGCTGATTCTTAAGAAGGCTTCTGGAGCAGGGGTCGACTTTGGTATTCGGGGGCCGACCTGGATCATTTCAGCTCCTCTGTCGTGATCGCGGTCGAGGGCCGGGGTGGGAGTCGCGGGGGATCGTTGGTCTCATGTTTGGGGGCCTTGACAAGTAGAAAAGCGTTTTGGAGCCTATCATACTGTGTTTTGAAAAAGGAGCAGAAAGAGTGTTGGTAATTATTCAGGCCCCTACATTAATGCAATCCCTACACCCTACACCCTACCAGCTTCGGCCCGTACCTTACCAGGTTCATGAGTAGTGGCCTATTGGTCGGGTTTCTTTTTCGGGTCCCTTCTTAAAACCAAAGAGTAGGAAAAAGGGTAATCTAATCATTCCGGGCCTACTCAGAAACCTAGACCAAAGGCTCCATGTGCCTTTGTAGTAGATACTTAAGCCTTAAAGGGCTATATAGGTACTTGACGACGGCCTAAGTATATACTATGTGGGTACATGGAGCCTTAGCTTATATTGGCTCGCAGGCGCAGAAGGGAGAGGCCTTTTGCTGCGCACCGTTGAAGCGGCAGCCGAGCACCAAAAGCAGAGGCATCCTGGCTGGGTCCCCACCCAAAGGATCCTAAGTACTGTTACATATTGTAGGAGCTCCCGCTATGGTTTGGGTGAGTACCCTCTGGGCCATTACATCTGTGAGTGCATACCTTAAGCTTAAGTTCAGGATTCAAGTAGGATTTAGGGTTTAGGGAGGTCCAAAATCTCTGGGCACCGAAACCGGGGGCATTCAGGTCTTCAGCATTGAGGTCTTGCGATCTGGGGGTTCAGTTCATTGCAATCGGGAGAGTCGCGCGGTTTTTGGGGGGCTTCAGGGATGATCCGGCTTTGAGTCATGTTGCGGGCTTGGTACCGCAGTCAAGCGGTTTGGAGTCCGGCGTTCCGGCGCAAGGCTTGAGGTTTAGGTCTTCGGTCTTACGGTTTAGTGTTCACGGTTTAGGTGCTAGGGCTTAGGGTTTACGTCGGTGTCAGGGTTCAGGGTTTTAAAGGGTGCGGTTGTGGCATGACCCTATAGCTGTCCGAGTACGTACAAGTACCGCGTCATCACATGCCACCGCATCCCCCGCAGCAAAGAACATTAAGATCAGCTAAACCCTAAACCCCAAGGAGCCTTGAAGTTAAAGGGGCTTAACGCCCAGGTATCTCCGATGTCATTCTGGCTCCTGCAGCGCGACAGACCCGACACGAGATCCGATTCGGCATCACGTCCTTTCTGCACTTTGGCAGTCTAGTCAGGGCTCCGGGTTTCGGGATAGGCCTTGATTTCAACAGCTAAACCCTTGTACAAAATTAGAACGGGCCGCAGCATGTATTGTACCAAATCCCGCACGCGTTCCCAGAAGCCTGACCCTAAACCTGCTTATCAGCTCAAAGGCTCAAAGACCTACAGCCGTGAGGGTTTGGCGCGTATAGGATTACTATTCAGGGTTTCGTGTTTGGGCTAGGTACCGTGCTCGCCGGCCTTTCCACCCCGTCCGGTTTGACGAAACCTTTGTCGGGAAGTTCTTTGTCCTTCACGAGACCGACGCGGAAAACGAGGCTCGAGCATAATATTCGGGCCTGAGTATGCAGTGTTAGTTGGGGTTCCCTCACGTACTGTATAGGGGCCATAAGAATTAGAATAGGGTTTTGAGGCCCATTATCCTCTTCTTCTTCCTCCTCGTGAGGCTGTGGGTCCGAGTACGAACGCGCCTATTCCACAGATGAATTCCGGGGCAAGTGCAAATCCTCAGTTTGCGCTCGCAAACTGCTCAGCAGTGAGCCGTGCAGTAATCTGGGCGATCGCACAGTGAGGTGCGCAAGATGCTGTGCGGCGTGAAGCCGGTAGCACAGAGCTGAAAAACCGTAGCACTAGCAACGCTTCACACTCAAAATCAATAAGATGTCACACCATAACATACGCATGAGCTGCACTTGGAATCGAAATGAAGCCTCAACGTGCAGTGCGAAGCAGGCGCACAACTGCGCAGGATTTTCCTCATGGGTATGAATGAGGCCACCCTGCACAACACGACTATCTAACGACATACCCGAGATGCTGGAACACCTTCTTTGGAGGTAATATACTGACATCATAACAGACATGCTAAAAGCTTGAGCCTTGTTCCCCATGGGGCAGAGAGGCAAACTGCAAGCTTCAGGCCCCGCATGGCGTATCCCAAAGGCCATTCCTGCATGTTCATGTTAATGCCGTCACACTCGGCATGAAGTGCACTGACTGTCGCTCTGCAGCTCTGCTGCGGTAGCACACTCCATGAACCATCGTACGCACGAGCCGTACTCACGAAAAACATAGTGGCAATGAACGCGTTTTCCGCTATGCAAAACACTGTCTGACTCCTTCTTCGTGGCAATGGGAACAGTGTACCAGTACCTAGCCGCGATAACATGACAACGCAGCCCAGCAGCAGCCTGGCTGCCAAGGCTGTCCCAATTACCGGGCGGTTGCGGAGTCCATGACTCGAAGGCTGAGTTTCACAAGCTTTCTCCCAAAAGAGGCCAACCAAGTCGACTCCCGCATTGATTATAAATCAGCATCCGCAGCGACCACACTCGGGGAACATGCCACATTCGCGCCGTTATGGCCGATGCCATCACAACTCTCACAACTCCCACCCCTCTTCTGGACGGAGTCTGCCTGCTTGACGAACCCGATGACGCAAAACACGTCTAAGAGGCACAGAACAAAAGCAGAAAGCTATCTCCGGGGTAGTATCTTTGATGAAGTTTCCATGCAAGTAGACGTGCCCAGCTTGGAACCACCAGCAGGCCGTCACGCCGCCGAGCGCCCTACAGTACTCGTTGAGCAAGCTGCCGACGCAGGGCTTCTGATTTCCAGTGGGCCGGGGCCAAACTGCCCAAACCAGCCGAGGCAATGAAGAGCAGCACGTCAGTTCCGATAAGGACGGAGACACAGTGACCAACATGATCCCCAGGCTCCCCGTGCAGAATGGGCATGAAGCGGTGGCAAGCGTTTGCCTCAAGCGACAGATGATAGCAACTGCGTTTGACAGTCAGGGAGCCTGCAGTGATCGCACTAGCTTCTGTCTGCGTCTCCTCCATATTCTCCCGCTGGACTTTGATCTACTTCCACCACTCGCCCTCGTCTGTGCACTTGGCCAGGGCAGTTGCTATTTTGTGCGCAATGGTCATCACCACGATGGCAAGAACTGCGGCACACCCGATCCTCCATGACTCATCGCGAAACCACGTCGCGGGCTCATGGCGAACTCTGCCGCTTCGGGTTCTGGGGTCCCGGGCAATGCAGATCCGCTTTTGGATCGGTAGATCCCAGACCCTCCCATTATACTCATTATACTATCCCCCCCAAGTAGCGTAACTACATAGGCCCCTTATGCTATAGTACTGACCTGAACCTAAACCCCCCCTTCTGCAGGCCCACAGCGAGGCGGCAATACGGCGAAGTCAAGCAGAAGCCCCCGGATGGCAAGAGCCATCTATACGGCTTTGAGGTTTAGAGTCTAGTGTCTGGACTGACATAAGGGCTCAGAAAAGGCTACTACGAATATTGCCGGAGCCGTCAAGCATCCTGTGCTGACAGTTCAGGCATTGCAACGGAGGGTAGTTGGGGTGTCGAGGCACAGTCCCCTGCTAATGCTTTAAGGCCTGCTGTGCGGGTTTAAGGTTGCGTGGGTTTGGTCAGCTCATGTAGCTGTGTACGGCTTAAGCGTTCTGCATCCTCCCGTTTGAGCCAGGTAACTCAGCAAGCAAGCTTAGAAGACCAGTGTTTTCCCTGAGCCCTGATCTTCTAAAGCCCTATAAACCCCTCACCCCTAAAGGGTTGTCACCGGCCCTGGCACTCAGAGATCTTGAGCTCAAGGATTAAACTTTTATACGGGTATATGGCTTGCCCTGCAGGACTATACCGTCCGCAGTCATTGTACCTGCAAATCCTAAACCCGAAGCCTTTTTTCCATGGATCCGAAGGAAAAACATGCTGGGGAGCTTATGCTTTAGCACCGCTGGACACCCCGAACTACCAACCCCATCTCCAAATCCTTAGACCCTTGCCAGAGAGCCAAAACTTAAACCCTCAACAGGACGTTAAAATCCTCAACCCCTAAAATAAGAATTTTTTCTGGCTTCCTAAACGCTTAGAGATAACCTAAGCCCTAAACCCTTAAAGCAAAAGAAAGGGAGCCCTGCCTCGATACCCTAAACCTCTAAATTTAAACCCCTCAACCCTAAACGGAGTACCCCTAAACCCTAAAGCCTTTAAGCCCCTTTAACCTCTAAACTCCTAAACCCAAAACCCCTAAACCCTAAACCCCTAAACGGCCTAAGCCCTAAACCGCTAAACCCTAAGCTCTAAACTCTAAACAGGCTTCCAATTAATGTCTCCGAGGCTTCCAAGAAAAAGCGGCTTCGTGAGGAGACCTTCGGTGGCCTCCTCCGGAGCAAAGGCGCTCCCAAAGGTTCCTTTAAGGGTTCCTTTCAGGATTGCTTTAACGATTCCTTTCGGGGTTTAGGGCTCCTGGGCAAGTTCTTCAATACAATTGTATGAAACTGTACAAAAGCCATCTAAACCTCTATGAAACCCGAACGCTAAGGCCAGGAAAACCTGCATAAACCCGTATGTATGCTTTCCATAGTGTCCCCAAAACCCTGAATCCTAAATCCTAAACGCTGAACTCCAAACCCTTAAACCCTAATGCCCATGGGCTTGCCGGGGCTCCTAACCTCAACCCCCCTCAACCCCTACACCCTCAACAGGATTCTTGCGGCTTATGGTTTAGGGTTTAGGGTCTACACCTTTGAGCCCCTAAACCCTAAACAGGATTCTTGTGGCTGGCGAACCGGCACGACCTCATGGGCATCTTCAGTCAGGCTGAGTGTTCAGGGTTTAGGGTTTTGGGGGTGTGATGGGGGTTATTGGGGGGGGGGGGTTCTTAGGGGCTAAGTGGTTTTATGGTTTTGCAGGGTATTTTGAAGCATAATAAAAGCAAAGCCTACAAAGCCATCGACATCATCTCCAGAGATTCCACAGTGCTGCATGTTACAGTAGGTTGTCTTGTAAGGATCAGTCAACAATGTTCGGTACTGAATTTGTAGCTGTCTTTACAGTGTAGGGCCCCGGGCTTAAGGATTTAGGGCTTAACGTTTCAAACCCTAAACCCTGAAATTTATGGGCGCTGGGCTGGGTGGTCCCACTCAAAACCCAGCGCAAGGCCGGCAACATGCTCACGATCCAGTTTCCAGCGACTCGACTGTCAATGCTTCCGGTGTTTTTGATCAGGGAAAACCTCCAACGTAACTCCTTTTGGTCTGACAGGCTTATATATATATATATATATATATATATATATATACCATCCATCCATCCATCCATCCATCCATCCACCTACCTTCCTATCTGTCAATATCTATCTATCGACCTTAGAGTCAGGACACGCTAATTAAGAAGGAAGATTCCTTCTCCTTTCAAGCTCCTGGATGCTCTTGATGACCCGTTGACCCAAATTAAGCCCTCAACTTCCCTAAACCCTACCCCTTGAACACTAAACCCCTAACCCCTGAATCCTACAGCCTTAAACCCGAAACCCTGAATCCGAAAACCCCAACCCTCGAACCCTAAAGCCCAAAACCTCAAGAGCCAGAGGAACGCTGGCTGACTCTCCAATCCGCGGCCTGGGGCGGCTCCGAAGCGGAGCGTGCAACTCGACTTGGGGATTTTGGAACTGCGCATGCAGGGGTTTAGGCCTCTTTAAAGTGGGTTTTAGGGGTTTCTTTAAAGGGGTCGAAAAGGGGAGTAGGGGTTCAAGGGCTTCAGGGTTTTGGGGGGTGTTGTGGCTTCAGGGTTTAGGCTTGGGGTTTTTGGGGGTTTAAGGTGTTTTGGGAGTTTGATTTATGGGGGCTAAGGGCTTTTGGGGTTCAGGGTTAGTGGGATATCGACTGAAGGGACCTCATTCTCAGGAGGGTCAGGGAGGTAGTACAGGGCATAGTAGAGCTTCTACCCAAAGCCAGAAACCCTAAAGCCAACATTTTCGAAGCTGCCCCCACCCTGTAATAGTGGTAGAGTAGGAATATAGCAGGGCCCTAATATAATGCACTATTACAGGGTGGGGGCGGGCAACTTCTAACCTACATCCTTTAGGAGTTTCGACTTCTTCGGTCTCCCAGGCCACAGTCTGCAAAGACTTTCATCCTCCCTTCGGAGACCGGAGACAGGCCTGCCAAACCGTGCAATTTACGGTTCAGGGATCAGGAGCAGGGTTTAGGGCTTTGGCGTTTTCGGGTTTAGGATTTTAGGGTTTAAGACTGAGTATGGGCTGATGAACAAAACTGGCGCACTGTAGGTGTAGAGGGGATACTTCTTGCTGTCGAGCTGTGGTTTGGCTCTTCACCAGCATCCCACTTTCGAAGCATACATGTTCGTTGTAAAGAAATCGCAGCAATGAGCCCTAATTTGCAGCGGTCAGATAAAGATACCTCGTGGGCATACTAGAACTGGTCATCCACGCATCCACGCGGACATAAACCCGTTTGGGCTTTAAGGGTTTGGGGTTAGGGTTCATAGCGTTTAGGGACGGCATCCTCAAATTGCAACCCTAAAACCCTAGCCCTACCCTCAATCCAAGGTACCAAGCACGAGAGGCGACTGACAGCACCGGACACCCTTGTCGGACCCAGATCCCGAGACAACTCCCTGGCCCCCGGTTTAGGGTTTAGGGCCCCCCAACGGTTTAGGGTTTAGGGTTTAGCCCATCAGTAGACCCTAAACAAACCCTCACCCCTTAAGTCGCAACCGTTTTACCCTCTCAGCCGTATTCGTAAATGACACTATAATACACCCCTCATCAGTTGAGCAGGACATGGTCTTCATCGGGAAGGACCTTAAGCACGAGAAGGTCCAGCAGATCCTGGACAGCTGTCTTCTGACAGATGAGGAGACCCGACTCCTCCTAGGATGCCCAGTAGTACCCTTATTCCCTTTTTGTAGTCCTAGGTTCCTTATAAAGTTACCCAATACCAAAAAGAGAGGCCTTTTTATTCTTAGGTCACTGGGTATCCTAGATGTACTGTTATGGGGGATACTTCCCTAAGTCATAATAGTAATTCCTACTATAGAAACCCTACATTCTACCACAGTAGACCCACGGTAGTCGTCCAGTAAGCCATCATGGCGAACTCCGCGCAGAAACTTGGGCCGGACTGGTGTCCCGAAGCCTGTGATCCCACCAAGCCCAGAAGCCCAAAGGCAGCAAGCAAGCAGGAGATGGCTATGGGCATAGATGGCTGGAAGGCGACGATGGGCGACGTGTTCTTAGATGCCAGCGACGACGAGAATTGAGAGGAAGCCTGCAAGCAGGTTTAGGTTTAGGTTGATGAAAACTATATCAGGGAGGTCTTGTGGTTTATTGGTGTCTGTTTTGATGCTGTTAACAGGTGAGGAGGCGTAGGCTTGCAGAGATGGGGGTTGGGGTTGATCTCGGCGACATGAGCTGTCCACATCGCAACTTGGTTGTGCATATTCTTTGCCTGCGTTCTGGTGGCAAAGACTCCGGCGATTGGCCGGATGAAGCAGATGCGGACAAAGATGTCTCACTCTAATCGATTTTCCGCTGCAGAAACAGACTATGCGCCGATGTTTTGCGACCCAAACCCTAAACCCGTGTTCAAATTTCGACAGCTTAGCAACGGGGTGCCTGTTTCGAGAAATCGTGCAACAAGGATGCTACCAACCTCTGCATGTGCGAGGCTTCTTCTGGCCCTTTGAGAGTTCGGATTCAGGTTCAACCAAAATCCAGCAACGATGCCCTATTCGCTCCTACATACATCCACCCCATGTTGTTGCAGGTGTCAAAAGCAAAGTTCTGATTGTAGAAGTTATAGCGAAGCTCCATAAAAGTAGGCTAGGCCAGCTGAAGGTAGGCCCAGGCTTCAGGCAGGCGCTAGTTGCATACCTACAACCTCCCTCGCTTGAAATACCCTGGCTATTACATCCTGTAAGAGTCCACAACAGAGGTCTCCATGTGCATAAGTAAATTAGGGTCACATCTGGGAGTTTCCGAAATTAGGGGTACCTTGCTTTGGGGTCCTACTAATAAGGATCCTACTATTTAGGGCACTATATTAGGGTCCCCCATTTTCGGCAACTCCCATCTTTTCGGTACAGGCAACATTCATGGACGACTTACTTCCCGACTTTCTGACGTCGCACTTGGAGGACGAGGAGCCGAACTTCGCGCTTCCGTCCTTCTAGGGAGCTAAATCCTAAACCCTAAACCCAAAATCCTAAACCCTAGATTCTAGGGTTTAGGATTTAGGGTTGAGGGTTTAGGATTTAGGGTTTAGGGTTTAGGATTTAGGGTTAGGGTTTAGGGTTTCTAGTTATAAGGGTGGATCCATGTACCTTTATAGTAGATACTTAAGCCTTAAAGGGGTCCCTATTTAGGTACTTTAAGGCCTAAGTATATACTATATGAGTACATGGACCCTAAGGGTGGATCCCTGTATGATTCTCCGTACCTGTGGAGCAACAGATTGACGGCGGCACGAAACGCAATCCCTTAACTAAGCCCTATCCCTGAACCAGTAGCCTTGGCTAACCGCTTCACCAACACCCCAATTAAACCCTAAGCCCCAAAACCCTAAACCCTAAGCCCCAAAACCCTAAACCCCAACAGGATACCCAGTGCCAAAGCCCCACCGGACCAGGATGACGTCTCGTCGCCGAGCGACCTCGCTGGCCGTGGTCCAAGGATCCTGAAAATCCTTTAAACCTACAGGGCCCTTGGGGATACTTCCCTAACTCATCTTCAAGGTTCAGGGTTTAAGGTTTCCTTGGTACCATTATGGGGGGGTATACTTCCCTAAGTCATACTAGTAATTCCGAATCGCGAAAGTCTACATTCTACGTTCTGTTTTCGGTACTTTGGATCCTTGGGTAGCTCAAGTGGAACTCCAGGTCCCTGACCCTAATGTAGACCCCAGATTGAAAACTCTTCCGCCAACATGGGTCATATCAGGAATATGGTAGTTTAGGTTTTATGGCGTAGGAAGATTAACCATCTAAGGTAGAAGAGTTTGAAAGCCTCGATGAGGTGGTGTGTTCATGGACTCCGACATGTCCGAGGAGGATGACATCCAGGCTTGTTCAGGGGTCGGGTTTTTTTGGGGTCTAAGTACACACCATAATGATACTTAGACCCTTTGAGGTTGTACAGGTTTAAGGGTCGGTTTAGGGTTTCCAGCGTTCGACTAAAAGCCTAGAACCGGCATTTGTGCTGAACCACAGCGCCTAGATGTAGTGTTTTGTAGCCTCTATGCAAGTTTGTTTGGATATGCCACAAAAATCCTTTCGAAGTGGAAGGCCTTGTGCCCAAATCCTCTCAATATTCCTTCGGCCCACGTCTGCATCCTTCGAACATCTCCTTCCTGTAGGTTCCAGAGACTTTCGGACGCCTGGTTTCGTAGAGGGGTGAGGGCACATGTCTTTTCTCGAAATCTGTGGTAAGACAGTGCAGAAGTCAGCATGGGGGTGTAATCGATATATGCCGTTCTTCATAGCCACATATTGGTGGTTTGGTTTCTCTGAGGAATCAGTCTGTTCGGTGCCACAGCTTCGAGTTGCGGTTGCTTTTGACCTTAATTTTTGAATCGGCTGAAGTGAGGCATGTGGCGAGGAAGTCTCTGTAAAGAGTGGCCCGATGCCCCAACTGACGATTTAGGGTTTGGGGTTTAGGGTTTTAGGGTTTAGGGTTTGGGGTATAGGGTTTACGGCTTACGGTTTTAGGGTTTAGGGTTTGGGGTTTTAGGGTTTAGGCTTTGGGGTTTTTAGGGTTTCGGGTTTGGGGTTTTAGGGTTTAGGGTTTGGGGTTCTAGGGTTGAGGGGTTTAGGGCCTAAAGGGGCCTTGCACACCTTGGGCCCTGTGCTCCTGTCAGGACTGAGTGCAGATCGCGCTGCGGCCGCCCGCACGGAAAAAGGTCGTTTGTGGAAGACCTCGGCCTCGTCACCTTTGGGTGGGGCTTAGGGTTTACCTGGAATCCAAGGAACCTACCTTTTTAGGGTTCCTTAATATGATGTATTTATATACGTCCTGAAAAAGGTAGGTTACTTGTGCTGTTTCTGGCTTGCCCTGCGACCTACTAAACCCAAACCCTTCTCTCCACCCAACTGCTGAGCAGTGGCTTACTGTGTTCCCCCAAGGAGCTCTTTGTCAGGCTATCATTTTGTAGACCCGACCCCGCGAGCTGGTTATCATGACATGATTGGCAGTTTGGTTCACTTGGCTTATGGCTCAGGACGTAGAATACAATGTGGCATGTAGGGCTTCGTGGAAGCTGGGTCCCTCAAGTTTACACTTGCAGGAAAAAGTCAGGAGTCGTACAACCCCGATAGTGGAAGCGTTACGCCGTTACGCCAACCTCCGTCACTCATTCAGCACCACTTGCTCAGGGTTCCACCATTGCAATCAATTAAGCCCTCATCGCGATTCAGCCACGACACGCCCATAAACCTCGTAATACAGTATCCCCTCGATGTCCGTATACTATACTCAGCACAATCTCAGTCATGGGCCTATGGCTGAGAGATCTTATCGCCCGATGGTTAAATCAACGGTGTTTTTGAGGCCTATACCATACACTCCGTTCCGGGGTTATTACCTCGTTTTATGATTAGCATCCTCTCCGTCGACTATAAAGCACAACGGCGTCAAACGGAAAGAGACACACACACACAAACCAAACACACAAGAAGCAGCAAAAGAGACACAGTACTGACGGTACAATGACACTGAGTAGGCACATACACATGCGCACAAAGCGGCCTCCCACGAGCTTTCAGGCACTGGGTATGCTGGGAACCCACCCATGGAGACTTCGAAGCACCATATTCAAGCAACGTACTTGAGCATCCCCAGTTGAAAGTTTACTGGGTTTTGCAGGGACCTTTACAGGACAGACTTGGTATCTGAGGGGTCTTTTCCGTTCATGCCTCCGTCTCTGCCGCTCTTCTTCTGTCTCTCTTACCCTTGCTCTCAATCCCTGTCGGGCTCTCCTGTCCTCCACCAATGTGCACATGCCAGGTACGATTGCGTCGATGAAGATTGGAAAGACAGTGATGTCTACGAGGTCTGCCGGCGTCAGGGATTCGACCTCTATAGGGACTACAAGCTAGTGTTTTGGTGTGCAGGGTGTGGTGTTCAGGGTACAGAACACCCTCAACCTTGAACCTCGCTGCCCGAATGCCTTGGGATCCATAGGCTCAGTCACCACTATAGGCTAATAGGGGTCGGAAGAATTGTCAATAGGGTTGCCTTGGAGTTACAAGTAGATATACGTAGTGCTATACACCCCAACACGCTGACCAGCACGGCCCAGACATAAATGCCACTGCGCGAATGAGAAGGCCTGAACTGAAGCAAGATTTCCTTGCCAATCAAATCAAACGAAGGGTGTAGGGCTTCGAGCCTCGCGTTCAGGGGCATCGGGCGTGGGGTTTAGGGCTTCTTGCTTAGAGTTTCGGGCTTAGGGTTTCTGCCTTGCAGAGACCTATGGAATGTACGAAGAATCCGCAGATCTGCTCCGGCCCGTCGAGACTCTTTGAAAACGCCTACAAGAAAGCCAAAACTCCCGAAACCCTCTTTTAACACCCTGAACTCTCCTTATAAAAAACCCTTCTAAACCGTCGCAAACGGCTATGGATACCACGCCCCCACACCTTCTGTCGCTTCAAAACGCCAAAATCCGCAAAGCCCGCCGAAACACGAAAACCCCACACCAAGAAAAGTCAGATTGCCTAAACCCCACACGCCGAGGCCCTCAAACCTGAGACGACCCCATGGGCAAGACGCTAAGGGCACAGAAGACAAGGAATTCGAACTCGAAGATGTCGAGGCAGAGTCAACGACGTGGATGGAAAAGAGGTCGTAGTCGCGGCACTTGAGAAACCTTCCCTGGCTTTCTGAGTCATGGGGTCGCTGGCGGTCTCTTTCGAGGTCCTGCGTTTCTGCGCCTGGGTAGCTCAACTCGGTAACTTCCCTGACTTTCTGAGTTGGGCTGCCTAGCTGTGAGCCAACTGGCTGTGGCGGGCGGACGCGGGGACCAACACAACTTCAATTCTAACTTAAATCCATACCCGTATAAACTAAAAACCACCGAAACCTTAAGCCCTGAAGCAGCAAAGCTCCAAACTCCCCAAACCCGTACATGCATGATTGTAGCCCTTACAGCAACGCTTATTTCCGTAACCCTGAAACCCCAAACCCTAAGCCCGAAAACCCTAAGCCCTACACCCTGAACCCCTAAACCACAAAGCCCTGAACCTCAAGACCCTAAACCCAACCC